CCAAGAAGGATGAGAAGAAGGACGCCAAGAAGGATGAGAAGAAGGACGCCAAGAAGGATGAGAAGAAGGACGCCAAGAAGGACGCAAAGAAGGATGAGAAGAAGGACGCCAAGAAGGACGCAAAGAAGGATGCAAAAAAGGACGCCAAGAAGGACGCAAAGAAGGTTACAAAGAAGGCCTCAAAGAAGGAATCCAGCGAAGATTCAAAGGATTTGAAGCAGAGTTCATAAAGGATGCATAGAGAAAGAAGTACAAATTAGATTATAGCTAAATTGAAAGAGGAATTCAAGACTGTTTTATGAAATTTAGGAATTTACGGTAAACTCTAGTGAAAAAGAGAATCAAAGGATCAAATAAATTTTTAAAAGGAGACTACTAATACAACAAAGAAGCATTTAGAAGATACATACAAATATAAGAATGATGTTAAAATGATCCAAATTGAGGATTTGTTTTATACTTTTGTTAAATCTAAGGATATGAAGAATTTAGAGATATTCAAAGCATGTCCAATTAAGTGCGTAAGAAATAAAGACAATGAACTTAGCAAAACAAATAAGTAAACAGTCTCAGAATATCCAAGGAGAAAGATTTTAACTCATAGATTAATAAATTGCAAAGCCCTCTCCATACATTTTAAGTGAAAGAGTCATAGAAAAAGTAAAGTAAATTTTCATTCTTCTTCCTTCAAGTGAAAATTTAAAAAGGTAAAGTTAGCATTACACAAAGACAAAGAGAGAGAGGTAACAAGCAAATGACATTATTTCCTCCTCATGAGCATGTACCACTGTCTTCTAAGTCAAAACAATGGCCAACAAGCTGATGAATGTTGAATGTTCCAACTCCAAGCCAACTAAAACTCTGGTAAGTCTGTTTTGCTTTCTTTTAAGACAAATTTGAATAAAAATTAGGATAGAACCAAGTTAAAGGTATATGAATTGTCAATTATCATCTTTATAAGATTTTTATAACTTTTCTGATTATGTTTTTTAAATGTTACCAACAATTTGTAATAAAATCTTGGTGAGGAAAAGAGAAAGTAAATAAAATAACTTAATATGGCAGAGGAGCTAGCTAATTATTTAAGAAAACTTTTAATGATTACTTCTATAATAAAAAGTTATTTTAAGAAGGAAAATTGTGATCAAATTCTCTATTTAGGCTTCCTTTTTACTCTATTGAAAAAAATTTTGATGCACATAGGGACTTGACTTAGAAGGTCGCATTCTTTGATTTTATTCTCTCCTAGTTGTGTACTTCTGGCTGTATTTGCAAGCTTATTTATGCTATAAGTTGAGGATATAAATTTAGTCCCATTTTATTTCTTATGATCCTTATTGCTTTTTTATTTCTACATCTCTGATACACCCTGAATTGAGTATTGTGTTTGGTGTGAGATGGGGATCTTGTTTCAGATATTTACAGGTAAGTGTACAGTTTTGCTAGCACAATTTGTAAAAGAGGTCATAATTTACCCATTTAATAAGTTTAGATTCCTTGTTAAATATCAGTTGACCTTAGGTAGATGACCTGATATGTGTGTTATTGTTTCTATTCTGTTGGTGTGACATTGTACCAATTCCATGCTATTTTGTTATGGCTGTGTAGTAGGTTTTGAGATCCTGGAATGCTATGTCTCCACTCAGTTTTTATTTTTCAGAGAAGTTTTGCTCATTTCTTCAAAAAGTCCCTTTCCTTTCCAAATAAACTTGCCAATTGCCTTTTCTATCTTTTTGAATAGTGAGTTTGACATATGTATTAGCATTGCATTAAAAAATGTATATTGCTTATGGTAAGATTATTAAATTTTCCATACATTGAGTCTTTATTCCACTAACAAAGAATATGTTTCCAGTTAGTTAGGTCTGTTATTATGTCTTATAGTGGTGTTTCATAGTTTTCCTTATAGAAGTCTTTTGTATCTCAGATTAGGTTTATTCCCAAGTATATCTTGTGTTTAGTTATTGTAAATGGTATTGCTGTCTTACTTTCTTTTTCCATGCTTTCTTGTTGCAGTAAAGAAATCCCATTTATTTTCATATATTTATGTTGTATCCTGATATTATTTAAAGGGTCTACTAGAAACAACAGTTTTTTGTTGAATCTGGGGTTTTCTGTGTATTCTATCTTGTTGTCTCATGTAGCAGCACGTTGAACCAATTTTTGCCAGTTTGAAAACCTCTTATTTCCTTCTCTTGTTTTATTGCTCTAGCAAGTACTTCCATTACAATACTAAATAACACTGGTTCATAGTTGGTATCCGTCTTTGCTCCATGTTCACACAAACACATAGAACAATGTAGAAAATCACTAGCAATCAGAGAGATACAAATCAAAACAACAATGAATTGCAGCACAGTAATAGTTGCAAAATTGTATAGGACAACAAGCAATAAATGTTCCAGATGTTGCACAACAGAAGACACGCAGATTAACAGAAAGGGTAACCTAGGTAGAACTATCAAGTATGGAAATACAAAGGAGGAGGAACAGTTGTAAGCAGACCCTAGTGATTGGTACATGGAATGTGAGAGCCATGAA